CTGTATACCGTAATTTACATGAATCACTCAAGTCATGATCTTTTCTATTCCTTATATAAACTGAATGTTCAGTACAGCCCTTACACACGGGCAGAGAGAGAGCTAACTACCTATATATGTATTCGAATAAGCAGATGAAACACGGTCAGGGTTTCATTTCAGCCAAGTCGACAACGAGGACAAATATTTCTGCTCCCAACACACCACGTACAGTTTCACTTTGCCTGTGGCTACTAATCACGTACCGACGACTGCAGTCTATCGTACATTCATTCATGATTACATTTGTAACGCGCACAAATTAAACTTCAAAAAGGGCAATTCAGAGGCTTGGGTGAATTGAAGACTTCATATTCCGACAGGACGACACCAACGCTGATGTGCGCAGCGAAAGAGGTATTCAATTCCAGATGACTAGACATGCGACAAAGAACCGGGCAACATTCATTGATAAAACATTTTTTTAAAGCCCTGCGCACACGCCCGCGGTACACACACACATGCATGCCTCACTACTGGCGCACATGGGCAAAAAAGGCCACTCACGCTGCTGTTGTCACCGGTCCAGTGGACTATCGCCTGATTGTGGGAGCCGTCTCCGGCCAGCACGAACGAGCTGCTGCTCACGACGCCCTCGGTCTCCCGCACGGAGGGCACTCCGAGAGGCAGCCGAGGCAACGCTCTCACGCGCCGCGGGCGCTTGGGAGCCCCTGGCTTAGAGTCCAGCAGATCCCGACGGAGAATTGGTGCCGCTGATGGCACGACCGCCGGGGTGAGTTCCCCTTGTCGCCAGATAGCAGCACCGGCTGCTGTGGCTGCGCTGACAGCATTGCTTTCCGCCAGCACCACCAGCAGCAGCAGCAGCATCAGAGGCGACATCGTCACCAGCAGCGGTGGCAGAGTCCCCACCCTGAGCATCCGCGCTCCGCCGGGCGCCACAAGCTGGATCGGAGCGCACGCAGCCCGGCCGCGTTCACATCTCCGGCTCATGTGCGCACGTCGGTCGGTGTGTGTGTCTGCGTGTATGTTTATCTATGCGTGTGTGTGAGTGTGTGTGTGAGTGTGTCTGGCTGTATGTGTGTGTAGTGTGTCTCACTGTGTATTGATTGTCCGTGTGTGTGTCTCTCTCTCTGCAGCTCTCCTCTCGCTATCCGCCTCACTCCGCGCAGCGAAAGTGTTAAAAGCGACGCGGCGTCCGTGTCCAACACCCACCACCACCAGCAGCCCATCCAACCCAACCATCAATCCACCGACCCAACCACGTCCCCCTCCTCTATACCCAAGCCCCCCACCCCCCACCACCCACCACCACGATGCCCCCACCATTCCACCCACCCCGAACGTGCGCGCCCCTCGCTGGCAATGCAACCCCCACCACCTCCACCCCCCATCGGCCACTATTGCGCCCCCCATCGGCTAACATTGCGCAAAGGAACGGGGGGGGGGGGGGGGCTCGTTCGCTCGACACGGTGCGCCTCGAGCAGATGTTTTTTTTGCACGATTTCTCGGGGATGAGCCTCGTGTAAGCGACTTTGGCCCCTAGCCCCCTCTCCACCAGCCTCGCTCGCGACGTTCCTTTACATAACACCCGGCGTTCGCTTCCAACAAGGGTGGCACAGTCGGGTTTTTTAAAATCGGGATTAATTGTCTTTTTATATTAAACCCGATCATCTGAGATTGGGAGAAATTCGGTTTAATTGGTTCTAATTGCAGAACCGCACTTCTCAACGATGAGCTTCATCCATTCCAAGCTAAGGAACTCACTGGCGCCCACGATTGTGGAGAAGCTCGTGTTCATCAAGACCAACCTGCCCGCCGCATTCTACGACTACCCCGTGCCCGACGGCCCCCCGAGTACGATAGCAGCACCGACGAGGAAGCAGCCTAAGCCTATCAGAGTTTTATATTCATTAAACCAGGTTTTAATTCCCCAAAATCGGGTTTAATTGTATTAAAGAAAAAACCCGATGCCTGCCGCTGGAAAAATCGGGTTTTTTCCACCCATGGCTTCCAAGCGCTCGGGTCGGGAAGGACACAAATATATGAAGCAGAACTCTATTCTGTCCTCTGCACATATACATACGTTTCAGTCCAATAGCCTATTGGCTTTCCCGACCAATATTATCAAGCAGAATTGGTTTAAGGAAACTATGAGCAGGTTTAAATATTCTGCTTCTCATTAGCAGTCAGGCTTGTTAAAGAAAAAAAACATGCTGCTGATTGAACCTGCCTATGAGCCAAAGTCATAGTGAGAGTTATACTGGATGTGGTGGAGCGGATGCAGAAATATTTTGCTGATCATTGACTCCTACAGACCGGGCTGAATTAAACACTGCCGATGATGGGATAAGTTGGTTGATCGTGACACCAATTGGGGTGGGTGTGAGAATGGTGGTGCGTGAACGGGCAGAGTTCTCTTGTACAATACAATACGTCGAGAGGCATTCATCTGGAAGTGGATAAACAATGGCTATTGAGATTATGATGGTGACAACAATATAAATCGGTAAAAAAACGACTGAATTGTGTGTTGTTTGTTGTCCTTCCCCGCACCTCCGATTAGCACGGTTGGCTACGTACGGTGCGAAAGAAGTTCAACATAAATACACATTACAGAACTGCGTATGTTTTCGTGGTTGTGTTAAAGCTCTTAGCACTTGGAGCCAAAGGTCAGGGATAATGCCACACAACACGCGGTAAGCCTGAAAACGCACCAAAGTGCTCTATACTAAATAGTGCGTGTGATGTACGGAACATTGCTTTAGAATGCAAATTCACACCGCTGCTGGCGAAATGGCCTCAAGTAAAGGGAGCGCCACAAAGCCCCTCGAGATTATATTTTGGCGAACTCTTCCACAACTGGCCAGACGTCTTTCAAGAGGTCGGTGTATCAACATTCTTGCCTATCACACGCAATTTGTCGATCGATGATAGCTCAACAGAGTGGCTTATGTGGAAATTAATATCAGCCAAATACTCTAAACGCATGTTTTTAAATGTGGAGGGGAAAACCGGAGGACCCGGAGAAAAATCCACGCGACCACAGGGAGAATATGCAAATTCCAAATATACAGGGGTCAGGGTGGAAACCACAACCTCCTGTATACCAGGCAATGTAGTTAACATCTCTGCTGGACAGATAGGGGCGGGCAGCTTTAAGAAACTTACACAACTGCCGCTCCGGAAGAACGAATCCCATCTGGGCTGAAAGTCCAGTACGCTAACCATTACACCACGGCAACATTCCCTCCGGTGTTTTTTTTTTATGCTACAGCGCCTCAAATATTCAGCACGAGTCGTCCCACAGGTGATTTCTCATGAGGGTAAAAACGGTCTCGAGGGAGGAACGGGGTTAGACGAATGTGTAAATTAATTAAATGGAAAGAACTGCGGCATGCGACCCTAAAAATGTTCGGTTGTTGATCGATGACGGTCCAATTTGATTTAGTGCATCGTTCTGCGTTCGTGTGGGTTTATTTTTCTTTCGGACATGGTGTTTTATCAATCAGAATTCCGCCACGCAGACACAGCAATGATGGGAGGGTACCTGTGTGACATTCTGAATGGATACATGTACGGCTAGCACGTTTACCGAGGAGATGGAGCCGTAAAATCAGCTCGCATGGAGCCGACTTGGGGGAGGTCTACATCCGACAGTGAATCGTGGCTGTCAGGAGTACATACACAGTACTGCCAGGGCCGGATTAAGATTTTGATGCCCCCAGTAATATTTTCAAAAGGAAAACAAAGTTAAATAAAAAAAATAAACGTCTTTTTACAAGGCTCACAACAAATCAAATTCAGCATTCACAAATGAAATAACTTTTGACTTAATCTCAGCTGGAGGAGCTGGCGGAGGCTGCAGCCCCTAAAGCCCCCGTGCCTTAATCCGGCCCTGAGGACTGTACAGACATTGTCAATCCACTGCTGGACGAAGACTCCACCACACCTTGCGTGTCATGGGGGTTATTCGACCATATTTCACCACCACCCTTTGTCAGTGCAGATCGGTGAAGGTCGGGAGCGGAGACTTTGGATTTTTGCTGCACTGCTGTCTGCTGCCCTGTCGTCTCGCAGCAGCCTGTGACAGCTGTTTTCATGCATGTGATGGTCGCCAATCCAAACACTATCCAGACTATGTTCAGCCTGTTTAGCTTCCGAGATTTGGCGATAGTTTCTGAACTTATACCTCGCCGAATTACACTGTGCAGCTCAGTCTCCAAAATGACAAACACCCTCAATTGCATAGGTACAATCAACTACTTAATAACGGGCATGTTTAACGCATTGTGCATTATAGAGCGTGGCCGCATTAATCTTAGAGCTACCAACTCCCCATCTCCTAAAATCAGCCTGTCAGCGTGCATCATCTGCCTTAAATAGCTTATATAGGCGTAATCCTGTGGGCATGCAGAGAATAAAACTACATGTGGGCTGTAATTGCTTTAAGATGCTACCGTATTAGCAGCTGGCTGCAGAGCTGCATGGGAACCCACTATGCCACAGTATACGTTAAGGGTGCAATGACAAAATTTAAATCGCATGAAATCCCAGCAGAGTATAAACATCGTGCTTGCCGCCTTGCGTCAATTGTGACAACGCAATGAGTAGGTAAGGACTTAATTTCAACCAGAGCTGTCTGGGACTGAGCTCCTGCAAATATTTACCCCAACCAACATATACTGTGGGGGGCGGGGGGGCAGAATATATTCCATGCAAAATGAAGCCCTGGCGCAGACCAATGGAGCTAAATAGACGTGCTTGTATGTTTAGAACTATATTGCAAGACATAATAAGGAACATGAATTCGAGAAGACACGCAGGTTGATTACATATTTCAACATGTTACAAATAGTGGGCATGAGCAGAAGAGATAATGGCCGATTGTCAAGACATGATGGGAAGTGGCAGCCGAGGATATGATCGTGTTGAAAGGTTGTGCGAGGAGATGAAGCGATGAAATCAACTCAGGTGGAGATGTTGTTTTATTACACCACGGAATCGTGAGATACGGCGAAAGCTTGGAGAGGCCTTCATCCAACAGTGGATCGATGAAGGCTGATGAGTGCTATATTTGAGGCTTGAAGGATATACAGTTCAGTCGGCTACATATATGATATCCAATCTCAACACGAGGGACAATCTGGCGGTTGCCTTTACTGATGTTAATTATTGACGAGAACGACTGCTCTGTGCATTGCTACAGCCCTTAACTCTACATTGGCATTTTTATGAAGCGGTTTTTACCTCGGCTGGTTATGGATTTTTTTTTTGCATTTCACATTAATTCGCATGTTTTAACGTGCGTTTCAAAATATTATTTTTGCACCTAGCTATATAAAATAGATCTTGGTTAGGATGTATGTTAAGTCTATGTCGAGTCGATCAACGCAATACGTGGAAACATTGCTTTAAAGCAGTGGTTCTTAACCTGGGGTGCCCTTTGTGGGGGTGCGAGACATTCCATGTTTTTTTAACAAGGTAAATCATCGCAAATAAATTAAACACGGGCACGTAAGTACAACTACTTTGTTTCATCAAACCTGTGTATTTATTAACATTATACATTTTATTACGATTGAGAATCAAAGGGGTGCAGAGGCTGCAGTAAAGGTTAAGAACCCCTGCTTAGTGTATAACTATGGTATAATAAATTAAAGGAACTTATAATATCACGGTTAGACGTATACCCATACCCATGCCGGCGATGGGGGTATTTGTTTGGCCTTGCTTCACCACACACGTCAGTGCGGGTTGGTCAAGGACAGAATGCAGAATGTACTGCATAATAGGCGACTACGACTGAAATTAAACATGGTTAGAGATTAATGCAGCATAAAGCACGTAATCGTATGAAAGGTGTGCTTTTATAAATCGCTGTCTGGAATGGAGAGGAAATCAGACAATGTAATGATTTAAATTATCAACGGAAATGTATTTTGGGATCTACACCGCATTGTAAATCAAGGATGCAAGACCTCACGACCAAACTGGGTGTGATTTAATTTACAATTAGCACGTACATTAACTATGCATTGTTGCCTACAGTGCAACATCCCTTTTGTCAATACACTGTTGGATGACGGCCTTCACCACTAAACAATACAAGCTCCCGAATAAGCCTATAATTATGCATGACTGCATATTCGGCATAACTAAACGGTTGCATAAACGGTCATAAAAGGCGCTCATAAACTCAAAGGGTACATTTTGTTCACAGAAAACGCATACAAAAAAAGTTGGTGGATATTTATAGATGCATATATTCCATCAGTAGCTGAATGAACGTTACTTTGCGTCGTGTGGCAGTTCCTAATGCATACCAATAGTGAATACTGCTGTGAACACGTCTCGTACACGCATTTTGGAGTTTGTCATATACACACTCGCACCATTTTCAACACGGGGACATTACCAATTAAAGTGTATTCAAATACCGTGCTGCTGTTTGTGTGATAGTCGAGGCTTAAGAAACACTCGATCGGTTCCGAAGTAAATTGTTAAAAGGCTTGTAAATGTGAATGAATGGGTTGCGTTTCTTGTGAACGGCATGCGTATCAAAGGCCGTTTCCATTGAACGCACTTCGCCCTCTGCTGTCAAAGAACGGGTACTGAAAACCCCACTGACGCTTTGTCGCTCGAGTTTGTGGATCTTTCAGAGTTACAGGACTTTAACATCGTGCATAAGCAGTAAATATTTAACTGAAAGTACAGAGCAATGTATCACTGCCGACTTTTTTGCATCACCGCCCCCTTTTTTGCATCACCAATTGGTTTAGACCTCGCATGAATAAACTACTTAACAACTACATTTAACTGCTTGCTTATGCAACGACACGTATCATGCAGAGAATGCATATACATTTTAATCCACACTTAACACGTGTTGTTTTACAGCATGCAGCTACAGAATTTAAATCGCATTTCATGAATATTTCCATTGAATAAACACTATTAAAGGGCAATGTGACCGATACAAAAAAAAACAATGCTTGTCGTGTTGACGCATATTGATCTAATTTCAAAATGTCCTCAAAAGGAAACTGGTAGGTGCATATCCTATATTACACGTAATAGTTAACACCTTACAAAGCATATGCAATTAAGCAAATCATCATGACGAGAAAAATAACATGAATAAATGTACCAAGGTTATTAAAATAAAATAGGAGTAAAAGGTAAAACTTTATTTCCAATCCCAGGGACATGTCCAAAGGCACATTGTTTGAAATTTAATACAGCAGTTTCACTTGTATTTCACATTATAAAACAGAGCCAGACCATTATATTATGGCCTAAATAGATGGAAGGTTCCTATATTTTACAATTGTAATTCACACTCCATTTGTATTCATTTTGGTGTTAATACATGTGCAAAAAATGTGCTCTGATTAAAATTCCGGTTGGCTCACTTTTCAATGTGAACTAAAAATGGAACCATAATATTTATGGACAAACAACTTACATACACATTTCACTTATTGCTACAATATTTTAAACAAATACAAGCGATACCTCTGACTTGCATGTGTGGACATAAAGGTGCATATTCTGAAAATTAGAACCCGGTTAAAACACATCCCATAATATATTATACATAGCTTAAAGGTTAGATTTTTTTTGTTATAGGTCATTTTAAAGAACACTTTATATTTCTGTTTCTTTGGCAGGCGAAGGCTTCTGTAAATCCTTTGCATTTCCTTTTACCTCTTCTTTACCAACTTCCTTTGCTGACCTGGATTCTTTCCCAGGATCCTTGGCTGATGGTACATTCTTCCCAGAACCCTTCACTTGCTCTCCCTTCCCAGAATCCTTTGCGATCTGTGTTTCATCAGAATTCTTTGTCGCGTTATCATCTTTGCAAACGTTCTTCACAGGTTGTACCACCTTACCAGCTTCTTCTGCTGCGACAGCATCCTTCCCAACATCTTTTGCAGCATCCTGCAAAATAAAATAGTTAAACGCTTAAAATCACAAAACTTTCAGGCACTAACTTCAAGAGCTATATATAATAGATGATGGCCAACATTTGCACAAATACATGAGAGATGACGGACAGAAATTGCACACCTTCGCATTCGCGATTCCTGCCATTGACGCTTCCTTCCCCACATCCTTTGCAGGTTTTGAGTCCAGAGGAGCATCCGTAGGTGACTTGGCCACTTTAGAATCTGCCGAAATCTCTGCAGGAGACCGAGCTGCAGCTCTGTTGTCTGCTGCATCGATGGAAACAGCGGATTCCAACTTGAGTTTGTTGGGTGCAACAGCGATGACGGCTGATGCATCTGGAGAGAGCTTGGCAGTTTCTCCAGCTGCCGCCGCCTCCTCTTGGCACTGCTCTTGCCTGTTCCGCTGAGACTTCAGAAGGCGGATCTGCACCCGCAGCTCTATGATGGCCTCCCTCTCCTCGTGGATGGCTTGATTCAAGTGGTTATTCTTGATCTGTGAAAAATGTCAAAATGTTTGCACAAAATAGTACACAAATATTAACATTTGTATATTGCCTTCAAAAAAAAAATCACCCATGTCAAAATAATGTACTCTGTATTTCATTGCTGGGCATAGGCTAGAGTTCACAACAGACTATCCAAGTGTGATGGTCTGGGTTGGGCTGTGTGTTGAGCATTATGTGGGTAGATACCACATGAGATTTCTCAAGTCAGTTGCTGAAGATGCCCACAGGAGTGTGTGTCGAAAGCTTGAGAAAGGTAAGGCTTAACAAGGGGCTTAGCTTGGAAGGCCACACTCAGAACCCTGAGTTGTTACAATCAAGCCAAAATACTCGAATGCTTGTACACTGCAATGGTTTACCTCAAGTTCCTCATTTTGCCGAATTAAATCATCAAGAATCAGCTGCAGCTCCTCCTCGTCCTCACTCTCACTTTCACTGTCCGAGCTGTAATCTTCCGTCTCACTGCGCACCTGTTGTCGACTACCTCGCCACACACAAGGAAAGCACACACGTTCGTTCCTTCCTTAGAATTCAATAAGAACATGCCAGGAAATGCATGATTAATTTTATCAGTTCACTTGGGTGTTATCGTATAAATATATTCTTACAACAAAGTGTTGGCTCCCTCCAGTCGCTATCCAATGACTTGGGGGAGCAGTGGTGTAACGGTTAGTACATTGTGCTAGAAACCCAGCCACCTGAGTTGGATTCAAAGCATAGTGCACTGCAAAATGACTGAAATATGGTCAAATTTAATCCCAATGATTTACACGGCACTTATCCAGCAATGGCTTGACAAAAGGCTCTAAAGATGAACTAAATTATGATTCAACTATTTCACTGACAGGAAGGATCACGATTTTGCAACTCGAACTGGTGTCATGTGAAAACCAACATCTGTGGAGAGGCCCTCACCTCTGTATCTCTGCGATTTCAGCCCGCAGTCGTTCGATCTCCTCCTTCTCAGCGGCCATCTTTCTCCGCAGCAACTGCTCCATGGCGAGCAGCTCCTCCTGTTCTGTCAAAACCTCATCCTCCTGAAGAATAAGCAGTGGAAGATCACCAATGTCCATTATTTTCAAATCATACATTTACAACATTGATTTATCTTACTTAATGAGTTCATTTTCAAGCCATGGCTAACAACCAGTGGCAAGTGATATCTGAACGAGTCCTTCTCCCCAACTTCACCAACCTCACCAACCTATACTGATCAGTGTCATGAATGGCAAACAACCCTCCTGAAACACATTCGAAAATGTACATTTTGTGATGTTATCTGACAATTAGCGGTGGAGCGGTCACACAGTGGTTAGCCAACTGCACTATGAAACTGGCATCCAAACTTTATTCTCATCCACGACTCACACTGACCAGCGTAAAGTATTATCAAACATCCCCCATGACCATCACAGCGTGAGGAGGCCTTCAGCAATGGATTGGCAAAGGACTGTAAAGTAAAGGAAGTATATGATCAATGTACATACCTGTGCTATGAGTATGTTGATCACTTCCTCTTCATTTTCTGTCATTTCCTCCTTTGAAACATCCTCCTTTGATAGGCTGGCAATCTCTTGAGCTATCTTTTCTTCGCAGTCCTTAAAACACATGTAATCCACATGTGTCCAGTGATTACAGATGGAAACGATCTCTTCCTTTAATATGTTTTCATACGTCTGCTGTACAGAATATTACTTTTTGGAATGGTATATCTTGCACACTTCTCACCTGTCGTTTGACCTCACGGAGTTTGCGTTTAAGGGCTGTCAGGATTCTTTGAACCTCCCAAAGCCTTTCCTCCTTCCCAGAGTCCTTAACACCAGCTTGCAGGTCACTGTGTAACCTGTTCAGCATGAATTCCTATGCGCAATAAAATAACAATGTTATTTGGCATAGCTGAACACTTTAAGGATGTAATGTCTATACAATAGAATAATTCAATGTGTTACACATGCAACAAAAATTGGCATTGTATTACAAGCCAATCATAAACAATAATGTAAACTAAAGAACAAGCTTTTATAATGGGTTTATGGTGAACAGCAAGGGTGAGAATAGCGTATTTACATTTATGTAAAATGTTACTAATAAAAAAAATAACGGTATTTTTTTTAGAACCTTTACATATTTGAGCCATATCAACGAGCACCTACTGCATCATGAGCAATGTCTAATTTACAGCTGAGATTCTAACCTGTCTCCGGATCTCTTCTTTGATATTTTCTTGGCTCTCTGGGAAGTTTGGAGCATTTGCCAGGTTGGACCAACGAAGGGGCCTGATTGCAGAATTCAGATTCACGTTCTTAAACAGGTCATTCACATGCATAAAAAACATATACAGCAGTCGGTGGCTTATCTGTAAGAAAACACATTAAACAAATTGGTTAATTGAAATCCGTTTTTGTTTCATTTTCAGGACACAATAAGCAACAGTATATGCATGGCCAAAGCATTGTTACGCACCTGTGTTGTGGGGTGCAGGACAATAGAAATGCCTTGCACATTCATCTTATTGTCACTCTCATGCAGCACAACATGGTCCATGTGGACCATGAGCCAGGAGAGGAGATGGCGATTGAATTTGGGAAGCTCTGCCAAAAGTCGCTTGCACTCAGCCAGCCGATCTTCAACTAAAGGACGACTGCAGGCTTCCTCAATTTTAGGGTGGAGCTCTCGTGTCAACAAACTCTCTGGAAGCTCCCGCAGATACTGTTTCAGTACACTTGCAACTGTGTGAGGGTCATAATCTTCCAGGTTGGGAGACTCCTCGCGATCGTATATGGCCTTCAATTCATCTACCTTCGACTTTATTCCTGCCATTGACAAAGGCCTCAATTAGCAAGTTGAATAAATAACATCTTATTATCAGTGTAAGTTATTTTTATCTGAAAATTGTGTGATACACGCTGATAATTTGTAATATAAATCTTGATTTTCCAATATGCAGACATAAGTGAGCGTGTTTTGAAACTCACCAGAAACCCTGTAGATGCCTTCACACTTAAGGCCATTACGTTCAATGTAGTCGATGCACTCTCGGCACACAGCTGGCAAGGGCACTCCGTCGTAGAGGGCAGTGCGATGCACAGCCTCCTCCAAGGTGGCACCAAAGATGGGACCAGGCTTGGGCCCCACAACCACCTCTACCTCGGGCCAATCCTGCTCTGGTACAGTCAAGACACTGGCCTTCTTTTTCTTCTTGCTTTTCTGTTGCTTATCTTTCTTGGGGAGTTTTACAACGTCTGCCACGGCCTGCTATGACAAAGAAAATGCGTGTTTGTTGTATTGTCCATAACAGCGTACATCCTGTATTACCATATACAAATTATGTAAAGTCATTTTTGATCAATTAACTTCGTTAAAATACATTTCCTTGAAATATATATTTTTTAAACATAAGCATCTAACCGTTCGCTCCTTGACTTTCTTTTCCTTTTGTTTCTCTTCCTTGGGCTTCTCCTCTTTGACCTTTTCCTTAATACGAAATTCCTTATCTTTTTTTTTGGAGAAGCTGGGCTTTTTAAATACTTGGATACCCTTGGACTTCTTCACTTTGGTAGGTGACTCTGCTTCATCTGCTGAACTGTCTTCCTGGAAAGCCGCATATCCCTCAGCTGGCTCAAGGAACACACATTTTTACACAAAGCAGGGAAATTAAAAACCAAGAAAAACCCACCAGCATACGTATGAATATTTACAACAATCTGTCTATGTACTGATGGATTAAGGCCTCCCCATACCCTACTGGTTATGGGATTTTAAACCATATTTTGCCCTGCTGGTGAATGTAGGCTGAAGGGGGGGATTCCACTGATCAATGTGGGTGGGTGAAGGGAGACACCCTGGACAAGTGCACCACTTGCTATTGTCAGTCATGGACTTGAATCGAACTCAGGGAGCCAGGTTCATCGTGCAGTCAGCTGACCACTGCGCCACTGTTCTACCCCAATACGTAAATGTGTTACTTATAAAACTGAAGTCAAAAAGGCAAATGTGTATTACTGCTCATATTAGCAATGAGATGAGGCTCATCTTCAAGAGTGGCCCTTATCCTTTTATATAAATTACAGACTCTTACGATGGGGTTAGTTTATGCGTAGAAGAACCAAAATGGGGAAATAACAAGATAACTGACTTCGCTTCTCTTTCTTCTTGAACTTGCTCTTCTTCTTGGCGTGGTCGCGATCCTCATCAGAAGGGACCTCTCCAGGGAGATGGCTGCCGTCTGTGAGTCCCGTGGGCTCAGTGAGGCGGTAGAGACCCGGGAACTTTGTAGGGCTAACTTCCTCAAAGCTGGGGCTGCGAGTCATGCCTGAGCCCTCGGCCGCCCTGCGGTTCTCGGCTGGGCTGCCTGGTGCTGGCAGGAAGCACTCAGCCATTGCCCCCCTGTTAAGATGCAACACAAAATTACATATCTGTTATTTAATAGACATGTAAATAAACTGTGCATCACGGGCTGTCTCATGTGAGTTTAATAATATTACATTTTATATGGCGTCGTTCATGCAAAACTGCATCTCACAACGCTGTACAAGACAAAAACAAAAAAATATAAATATATTGCAAAAAAGTATAACACCAAAACCAAGGTCTATTCAAAGGCCGTAGTAAACAAAAGGTTTTTAAATGGGACTTAAATAGAGAAAGGGGCTTAAGTTGATGAATATTAATGAGCTTAATTCATGAAAAAAATACTTGAAAGTCACCTTCATCAGTGTTCTGTATGTGCAATTGTATGAGGATGTCTGCTATTCAACATGTATTAATGGTAAAAATGGTCATGCCAATACTAAACTATACATTTTAATAAAAAAATAATTTTTATGCCCATATATCAATGACATTGATTGGTTGGGGTCACAATATTGAGCCTGCAACGTTGAGTTCCCAGGTTCAAACCCGAGTGTCAGCGTAAATGACTGAACCGGTTTCTCAAGTATAGCGAGTTGATGGCGTTATAAGTATTAAAACTGGGTTTTCACGTAAAACTGGCAAAATTCCAGTTCTGAGAATACAACAAAGATAAAATAAATTAAAGTTCGCCTGCCATGCGACACACATCTCCATGGAAAAGATACATATAGCAGGGAGTCTGAAAATATGCAGCATTCCAAGTGAATATCCCTTGAAAGGATCCCAGAAACAGTTCAATGATATGTCTGCAGGCCATTCTATCGTGGTGGTGCACTGCTCACTCACTACGAGAGTTTTGATGGCACAATTGGAATAAACTTTTTTTTTAAATCGAACACACACCAAATGTTTTCATGTAAACATTTCTCAAAGTCGTCAGTGCAACACATTGAAGTACGATCTCCCAATGCGTGTAAGTGCCGCGGTATAAGCTAAATTATCTGCGATAATGCAGGGCCACTTCCAGGAACCTCAGTTAATATTACACGTGAATGTATCGTATTTCATCATACAGTACAAGTATCATCCCTGTCAACGCACAAATGATGCAGGCTTCGTCACACCGTGAGTAACAGGGCTGGTTTATCATACTTCACCACGATGTGCAGCGTGTGTGGGTGGTGTGTGAGGTGAACGGGAATGCCAAGACGAGAGACCGGCTCGCAAATCACTCGCCACTGATGATGATGTTGTTATTTGTGGCCGGTTATCGAACTCAGGCGCCGTAATTCATAGGGCAGTGTACGAAACAACTGCTGCTGCCACCCATATACACACACAGTTACACTTTCTAGGTTGTACTTGTACACACACCGCGTCCAAGACGATCAATTTAAAACAAGTTTAGCGTTTAAATGTAAACTAAAATACAACCAGGCCCCATTCAGGCATGCGGGATTTCCTAGAAACTGTGCCCAGCGAACGCCGCTTTGGTTATAAACACAACAAACAAAACGAGCACGGCGCCATCGACACGACGATGTAACGAGTAATTCGACGATGTATCCTATATCATCAACAAAATTGGTGATAATCTTATTAATATCGACGGTGATGATGATGAAGGGAAGTAAACAACACGAAGACTTTACCAGCCGCCGCCTTCCCACCAAGAGGGGTCGTATCGATTCTTAGATTCCTGTGGTCTCGATCCTTGCATCGATCCGCGCGTGTAATTAATCGATTCTCTTTAATTCCACTCGCAATTACGGAGCGTACAATGGTTATAATAACGTAGTAATTTCTAACATTGTGATATGGAAACGGAAAACATACTCTACGAATCGTGTATGTTCATGTTGAGCCTTACAAGGTGCGTATCGAGAAAATCAAGCGAATCGATTCTCATTTTAACGATACTTCAAAATATATCGTTACGTGTATAAGAATCAATAACTTCACACCAATGCACATTTCGTACGGTATTTCTTTAGACCGATACTCGGAAGGAAGGTGCGAACGAGGCGGCGCAATAACTAGACGACGTTGCAAAACTGGGACAATAAATAAGTACAAACAAGACAGCAGAGAATCGATGCCAAATAAGCAATTCGGTGGATCGATGGGAAAATGAATCGTTCCGTCTTTCGTCTGGCTGTGGCCTGATGAAGCTGGTTGTAATTACTGGCGAAACGTCGTACTCAGATTGTAAATGTTGTGGATTTGCTCTCCAACACAACGGTGTTGGCTGTACTAGTAACGAATTGGCATGTTGTTATTAATTGGCTGTGTCGGGTGGTGGCGGGTTTAACGACACATTTATATTTACGCAATTTGACCCAAAAACAAACTCTATTATGGATGATATTGGTCGCGAATGTCTAAGTGTTAAACGGACTGCCACAACCCCTGGGGTGGCAGAGTCCCTGGGGGCTCTGCTCAAGGTTATAAAAGATAATACAATAAACATTTAAGTTTCACAGAATATCGCATGACAATGAACACAGCCTCAGTATATTGTGGGGGGAAAAAAATCATAATTCCCCTAATACGAGCATGTGAACCCTTATTACAGACCAATTCAGACATTATTGGTCATCCCGTGCAACTTATAAATCTCAACGTCCATCCTACAAAGTCCCATCACAAGGGAGAAACACAATAAAAAAAATCACCACCAGTACCACCACACTCACCACTACACTCACCACCACTACACTCACCACCAGTACACTCACCGCCAGTACACTCACCACCAGTACACTCACCACCAGTACACTCACCACCAGTACACTCACCACCAGTACACTCACCACTACAACACTCACCACCAGTACACTCACCACCACTACACTCACCACCACTACACTCACCACCACTACACTCACCACCAGTACACTCACCACCACACCCACCACCACACCCACCACCACACTCACCACCACCACTCACCACTACTCACCACCAGTACACTCACCACCACTACACAAGTACCACGCACCACCACACCCACCATCACAACCCACCACTACACTCACCACCACCAAGCACCACTACACTCCCCACCGTAAAAACAACTCACCACCACTACAACAACACTCACTCACCACCACACACCCACCACCACACCCACCTCTACACTCACCACCACCACTCCCACCACACCCCCACCACTACAACTCATCACCACCAACTCCCCACCACTACCCTCACACCACACACTCACACCACTACCCACCACTACACTCCCACCAATACACTCCACCACCACTACACTCACCACTACCCCACCACCACGACACTCACCATACAAAACATCACCTACACTCACCATACAATCACCAACCACACACTCACCACCAGTAAAACACTCCCACCACCGCACCACCACACCACCACTAAACTCACCACCCACTCACCACACACTACTCGACCACCAGTACACCATCCACCACCTACACACCCACTACACACACTCACTCACCACAGTACACTCACCACCATACCCACCACCACACACCCACTACACTCACCACCACCAACTCACCCACGACACTCACCACCAGTGCACTCACCACAACTACACACCACTACACACCACTACACTCACCACCAGTACACTCACCACCACACCCACCACCACACCCACCACTACACTCACCACCACCACTCACCACTAGCACACTCACCACTACACTCACCACCACTCACCATCACTACACACACCACTACACTCACCACCACTACACTCACCACTACACTCACCACCAGTACACTCACCACCAGTACACTCACCACTACTACACTCACCACCAGTACACTCACCACCACCACACTCACCACTACACTCACCACCACTACACTCACCACCAGTACACTCACCACCACACCCACCAACCCACACTCACCACCACCACTCACCACTACTCACCACCAGTACACTCACCACCACTACACACCACTACACAACACTATACTCACCACAAGTACACTCACCACCACACCCACCATCACACCCACCACTACACTCACCCACCACCACTACACTCACCACCAGTACACTCACCACCACTACACACCACTACACTCACCACCACACCCACCACCACACCCACCTCTACACCCACCACCATCACTCACCACCACAACCCCCCACTACACTCATCACCACCACACTCACCACCACTACACTCACCACCACTACACTCACCACTACACTCACCACCACTACACTCACCACTACCCTCACCACCACTACACTCACCACTACACACATCACCACTACACTCCCACTACACTCACCACCACTACACTCACCACCAGTACACTCGCCACCACCCACCACCACACCCACCACTACACTCACCACCACCACTCACCACCACCACTACTCACACACCAGTACACTCACCACCACTACACACCACTACACACCACTACACTCACCACCAGTACACTCACCACCATACCCACCACCACACCCACCACTACACTCACCACCACCACTCACCACTACACTCACCACCAGTACACTCACCACCACTACACACCACTACACTCACCACCAGTACACTCACCACCACACCCACCACCACACCCACCACTACACTCACACCACCACTCACCACTAGCACACTCACCACTACACTCACCACCACTCACCATCACTACACACACCACTACACTCACCACTACACTCACCACTACACTCACCACCACTGCACTCACCACCACACTCACCACTACACTCACCACCAGTACACTCACCACCACTACAACTCACCACCACTGCACTCACCACCACCACCACACTCACCACTACACTCACCACCACCACACTCACCACCACCACACTCACCACCACTACACTCACCACCACTACACTCACCACCACTACACTCACCACCACTACACTCACCACTACACTCACCACTACACTCACCACTACACTCACCACCACTACACTCACCACCACTACACTCACCACTACACTCACCACCGCCACACTCACCACCACCACACTCACCACCACCACACTCACCACCACTACACTCACCACCACAACACTCACCACCACTGCACTCACCACCACACTCACCACTACACTCACCACCACTGCACTCACCACCACACTCACCACCACTACACTCACCACCACACCCACCACCACACCCACCACTACACTCACCACCACCACTCACCACTAGCACACTCACCACTACACTCACCACCACTCACCATCACTACACACACCACTACACTCACCACTACACTCACCACTACACTCACCACCACTGCACTCACCACCACACTCACCACCAGTACACTCACCACCACTACACTCCCCACCACTTGCACTCACCACCACACTCACCACCACCACCACACTCACCACTACACTCACCACTCACTACACTCACCACCACCACACTCACCACCACTACACTCACCACTACACTCACCACCCACTACACTCACCACTCACTACACTCACCACCAGTACACTCACCACCACTACACACCACTACACTCACCACCACACCCACCACCACACCCACCTCTACACCCACCACCATCACTCACCACCACACCCACCACTACACTCATCACCACCACACTCACCACCACTACACTCACCACCACTACACTCACCACTACACTCACCACCACTACACTCACACTCCCACTCACCACCACTACACTCACCACTACACACATCAACCACTACACTCACCACTACACTCACCACCACTACACTCACCACCAGTACACTCGCCACCACCCACCACCACACCCACCACTACACTCACCACCACCACTCACCACCACCACTACTCACCACCAGTACACTCACCACCACTACACACCACTACACACCACTACACTCACCACCAGTACACTCACCACCATACCCACCACCACACCCACCACTACACTCACCACCACCCACTCACCACTACACTCACCACCAGTACACTCACCACCACTACACACCACTACACTCACCACCAGTACACTCACCACCACACCCACCACCACACCCACCACTACACTCACCACCACCACTCACCACTAGCACACTCACCACTACACTCACCACCACTCACCATCACTACACACACCACTACACTCACCACTACACTCACCACTACACTCACCACCACTGCACTCACCACCACACTCACCACTACACTCACCACCAGTACACTCACCCCACTACACTCACCACCTCACCACCACCACCACACCTCACCACTACACTCACCACCACTACACTCACCACCACCACACTCACCACCACTACACTCACCACCACTACACTCACCACCACTACACTCACCACCACTACACTCACCACCACTACACTCACCACTACACTCACCACTACACTCACCACTACACTCACCACCACTACACTCACCACCACTACACTCACCACTACACTCACCACCGCCACACTCACCACCACCACACTCACCACCACCACACTCACCACTACACTCACCACCACTACACTCACCACCAGTACACTCACCACCACACCCACCACCACACTCACCACCACCACTCACCACTACTCACCACCAGTACACTCACCACCACTACACACCACTACACAACACTATACTCACCACAAGTACACTCACCACCACACCCACCATCACACCCACCACTACACTCACCACCACCACTCACCACTACACTCAC